GGCCTCTTCAACTTCCTGAGTAAGAAGCAGGGCCCTTTTTCCTAGTAAGATTCACACAGCAGGGCCTATTTTAGAAGTAGAAAGGGATTCGGATGTATCCAAAATAGGTTCAGCTATGCCTTAAAGAACACTGTTTTGATATAACAAGGAACATTGTATCAAAAATGTAGAAAATCATCATACACCCCAGAAATTACTCTTCCAAATGTAAAATACTTAAAAATCAAAACTTTCAGGTCATCTTTACGTGTTTCATGCCAAACACCTGCTATGTAGTAGGCTCTCAATAAATAATAGTGAAATAAAGAGTCAGTACCTAAATGTGTGATGAATATTAGTCATAAATAATGATTTCTTCAAATCTTTAAAAATTGGCCTAAAATGTTCATTTCTCTGTCTGAGCTCATATACAGGCCATTTTGAGATGTGTAAAGATTAGTTTTTCTCTCTTTACCCCCGTTATCAAATTTGAGAGACATTTTGATCCAATGTGAGTGTGAGTATCCAGAAAGTCATCAGAGGGGAATGTGGGCTTGTGAGTTGATAGCAAAAGCTGGCTGTTGAGAGTTAGTTGATAATGGAGTAGCGAGAGAGAATTCTGATGCCCCTAAGAGATCTGCTCTGAGATTTGCAGGAACCACACAGACCTTTAGACAGAAGGCAGGAGCCAGAGAAGAGACAACTTTCTTCAGTAGGAAAATAGCCCTCCTACCATCAGCACTGAAACTTGCCCAGCTCTCTCCCATATCACATAAAACCCTCTCTCTCCATCTTCCCCGGCAGGTGCTTCCCTAATTCTCTCTCTCCTTAACTGTTCTTGATACTGGTTTATATTCACTTTTTCTACTTCCTCACCTTCCACTCACTTCTCAGTCCACTGCAGTCTGGCTTCTTGCCCCACTGCTCCACTGAAACATCGTTTGCCAAGGTCACCAGTGACTTCCTTACAGCTAAACCTAATGCACACATTTCCATCTCTGTCTCACTTGGCCTCACAGTGGCTATGGATGATGATAACTTCCTCTTAGAAATACTCTTGTTACTAAACTTTTATAACTCAGTAGTCTCATGGGTTTCCTCCTGTGTGTATTCAATTGTAAGACATTGTCTTAGATTTCACAAAGGTAACCAAACTCAATAGCCCCAGACTGAACTCCCAGTCTTTCTCTGCAGATACTTTTCTTCCTGCTGTCCTCCTTCAAAATGAATGCCTCCTGTTTGCATGGATACTAACACTCCTTCACCTGACGTAATTTCCATTTTGTTGTTGTTGTTATGGTGAGAACATTAAAGCCCTATTCTCATAGCAGCTTTCAAGCATACAACACAGTATTGTTAACTACAGTCACCAGGTGTACAATAGATCTCCAGAATTTATTCATCTTATAACTGAAAGTTTGTACCCTTTGACCAGCATTTGCCCATTTCCCCCACCTCTCAGTACCTGACAACCACTATTCTACTATTTTTTTCTATGAGTTCAGTGTTTTTAGCTTCCACATATAACTGACATCATGCTGTATTTGTCTTTCTCTGTATGACGTTTCACTTGGCATAAAGCCCTCAAGGCCCAACCATATTGTCACAAATGGTAGGATTTCCTGCTTTTTCATGGCTGAATAATATTCTATTTTATACATAAATATATGATATATATATAATGAAAATTAACTTGAAATTGATTAAAAACGTAAGACCTAAAACCATAAAACTTCTATTTAAAACATAGTGGGAAGCTCCTTGACAGCAGTCTTGGCAATGATTTTTTGGATATGACACCAAAAGGACAAGCAGCAAAAGCAAAAATCAACAAGTGGGACTACATCAAACTGAAAAGCTCTGCACAAAAAAAGAAACTATGAACAGAGAGAAAAGGCAACCTATGGAATGAGAGAAAATATTTGCAAACCATATATCTGATAAGGGGTTAATATCCAAAATATATAAATAACTCATACAACTCAATAGCAAAAAGACCCAAATAATCTGATTAAGAAATAGGCAAAGTAACTGAATAAACATTTTTCCACATAAGACATACAAATAGCCAACAAGTACATGGAAAGGTGCTCAGTATCATTTAGCATCAGGGAAATGCAAATCAAATCCACAATGAGATGTACCCTCAGATCTGTTAGAATGGCCATTATCAAAAAAAGAAGCGCTAACAAATGCTGGCAAGGACGTGGAGAAGGGGGAACTCTGGTGCACTGTTTGTGGGGGTGTAAATTGGTGCAGCCACTATAGAGAACAGTATGGAGGTTCCTCAAAAAATTAAAAATAGAACTAACATATAATCCAATACTCCTACCTCTGGGTAAATATAGAAAGGAGAGGAAATCACTATCTTCAGATGTATCTGCACTCCCATGTCCATTGCAGCATTTTTCACAAAAGCCAAAAGATGGAAACAACCTAAGTGTCCATCTATGGATGAACAGACTAAGTGTCTATCTCTGGATGAACAGATAAAAAAATGTGATATATGTATATGTATATATATTATGTATGTGATTTTAAGGTCTTTAAGGTTACTAAAAGTCACTGCTTGTGATGAGCTGAGAAAAAGAAGTGAAGATTAACTGACTTCTGACAGTGGCTCTCTCACTTTTCTCTCTCTCCAAATCCTAAGGGGTGATCCCAGTATAACTCACCCCTGAGAGGGGATGCACCCTCTCCTCAGGGCCTACCTGTACAACCTCTCTTACTGACTCCAGGCCCATAATGAGAATTAAAAAACAGCTATGCCTGGAGGAAAATTGCAAGGTTTAACCCAGAAATAAAAACACAATACACAAAAGGAGCTCAAGATCTTGCTCAATAGTACAAGCAGAAATAGGTAGCATATATGAAGGTGGGTCCTTAGGAAATTAGACCAGGGAGGATGAATTATTATTTTTGGATAGGGCCAAATTTATCAATACGAGTATACTCCCTGTGGACTCAGGAGCACCCCAACTTGCATTTCATATCAATGAAATATATATTTCTTTACTGGAATCCTGACAAACATGTTTTAAAACTCTCCGTATTTCTTTTGTGCACTCATCTTTTGTAGTGACCTGAAGGAATCTGTGGTGGTGACTCTTTGATCATGAAGTCTATTGAAATGAAATAGATGGACACCCTACTAAGATACTTCTTAAGATATATATCTATATATATATGAAATTCTGGGTCTGTCGGGCAGAAAACTAACACAAGTCATCATAACAGGGATTCAGATCCTCTTTCCCACTCCTTGATATATCCTACTTTATAGACAGGAGGCTTCAGCTGAACAGGAGGCTGGGTCCCTTTGACAAAATTCCTCACAACTTAGTCACAAGGATATACAATTAATCATTCCCCAGAAGTCCCCAAGGGAGATCTGTGGCCACAAACCAGTCGAATCTCCTTCAAACTGAGTCCACCATGTGTGGTGGCATCATCGGAAGATAAGGCTGCTGCAACTACAGTCTCACTTAGGGGTGGTTCCGAAAGATGTGGTGAAAAGAAATCTCCCCAGTGGGCAGAGTCTAAGGAGGTATATTTAGGTGTTGACTTTGTGAAGAAGAGACACATCCTGAGTTTAGATTTGTCTTGATTCATGTCCAGTAGCTCAATGAATTGACCAGTAGTAGGGAGCTAGAAAAGAATAAGACTGGAAAATTGGTGACAAAAAGGTCTGGAGGAGATGTAGATGGATGGAATTGTAGGAATAGGTAGTGAATGGAGTTTACAAACACTCAACGGAGAATGGGACATTAGAGGGATGACAACCAGTGAGATTTGGGTATTTATTCCTTTGGCTGTCTGTGCTGAGCCATGTAACGGCCATTACAGCGTTTCTCTTCCTAAGGCCACAGCTCTCATAAGGGTGACCTTTTCTGCCAGGGTCTGGTAATATAACCTACCCTCATTATAGGCCTGGAGTGATGATGACTCCCTACCATCACTAGTTACAGGATGCCTCACTCACCCTACTCATGTTTTTATAGTCTTGTTAGTAGACTCTCCTCAAGTGTTCTATTGTTTCTTGACAATTGACATCTGTTTCTTGAGGGGACCCTAATAGGTCCCCACAACAACCATGATCATAAACTCCATGGGGGGAGGGAATTTAATCTCTTTTATTTGATGGTGCTATCCAAGCATCTAGAATGATGTCTATTGCACCACAGGTTTTCAATAAATGTTTGTTAAATGAACATACGTAGCGACCACTTTTTCTCCATTAGTCACTTTCATGATAAAGTCTATTATGATTGATTTAATATAGTTTGACCAGAATTGTTGTGCTTTTATTTGTAATTCGTTAAAGAAGGACAAAAAATAATAAATGTCAGGCAAAAGCAAGCAAACTCTTCGTTATGTGCACGGAAATCCAAGATGATTAACATGAACATTTGTTGAAACAATCAGAGAATTCGGCAAGAAACAGTGTTAACATTTAAAAACCAACAGCCTTCCTGTAAAGGTCTACGCCTGGAGCCCCTGTCTCCACCCCCAGTAGAACCTCCACCCTGGGCTCCAGGGGCTCTGGGACCAGGCTCAGGGGTTGGTGAATCCGAAGGCTGTAAAGGGGAGAAGTTTCCAGGTTGAAAAACTCTAATTTTACAGCTATATAATTTCAATCCTAAATACTTCAGTCGTCATGGCTGTTTTTTCCAAAATAAAACTTACTACATAACTCCAAAATTTTTTCACACTTCATCTAACTAACGGTAATTTTAATATTTTCAATATCCATTCCATATTCAATTTTCCCCAATCTATCTACAACTGACTCACAAAAAAATGCTATTTCAATCATGAGCCAATAGAGGACCACCCTTCGCATTTAGTGGCACAGTTCAGGTTTAACCCTTAAATTCTTCGGGCTACGGCTCAGAGAGCACATCATTCTCCAGCTTTCTGAAAAGCTGAGGCGCTGAGAGAACAACCTCAAAAGGGGCGCTGAGGCCTATGGGAAATGTAGTCTTGAATCCTTCTGGCTCACCGCGCGGCACTCTGGGAAGGGGAGTCCGGGCTCCCTCTGCGCATGTGCAGCCGTAGCCCCGCCTCCTCCCTCGTCTTCTCCAGAGTCCGCGGTTACTGTAAGTTGCCTGAGTCTCCTCAGAAAGTAAACGGCTCGCCTGGGGTGAGAGTGAGGGGGAACCCTAAGGGCTGGGAGGCCCGTCTCCCCCAGCGCCATGTGTGTGCCCAGGCCGGACCTCGGCGGGGTGGCGGGTGGGGGACCTCGGGCTCCCGGGGCGCAGGTGCGGCGGAGCCAGTTAGGAGTGGGCGCTGGGGCGGCCCGGGCGTGCGGGGACAGTGTGCCCGGCTCTCCTGCAGCCCAACCCCAAAAAAGCCCACGTCGGCGGCGGGAGGCCGGTTAAAACGCGGATGGGGCCCGGGTCTGCGGGGCAGCCGAGCTCCGGAGCCCGAAAGACCCGGTAAGTCCCGGCTCTGTCACCTCCGAGCAGGGGCGACAGAAGGGCCTGGGTCAGCGTGCTCACGTGGGCGTGAGATTAATAGCGCCGTCTCACGGCGTCGTTTTGAGGTCCGAGTCATCGTTGTACAGTATTTAGGCGAGGGCCGGGTAGGAAGCCCTGGGTAAGGGACAGCTGCTGCCGTAGTTGGAAGTCAGTTTGTTGGTGTCGCTAGATGGCCTGATGTGCCCTCACGACCGCTTCCCCAGCGCCCAGGCTCAGGTTGGTGGCCCGATGGGCTGGGTCGGGAGGTCGCAGCGCGGGATTTGGGTTCAAGGGCAGGTGGCTTCCCTTCAGCCTCAGGCTTTGTCTGATGTCACACCTGCCCAAAACTGGCACTGCGGCCTTCCCGGCTCTTAGGAACATGGCCTGTCCCCACATCCCCAGGGATGTAAGGGAAGGGATGTGGATGGAATCCCACCGTGTGTTACATGTACCCTGGGATTTCTAGTGTCTCTTCAGGTCCCTTGGGTCAGACAGAGGGGCCTGGCCCCTTCTGCACTGACGGGATGTCCTTCAAGTCTGATATTATAGTGAATTTTAAGAGTCAGTCTTTGGCCTCTAACGTGAATTTATTTCCCAGATCCACCTCCCAGTTTCCTTGAACAAAGCAACCCTTGTGAGGCAGGAAGCAGGGGCCTCTGTGCAGGAGTCTTACCTGGAGGAGAGCACCCCTCTGACCTTAGACCTCTCTCCAGAGCTTCAGAGTGGAGACAGAAGAGCCCAGAAAGAGCAGGTCCTAGATTTGCAAGGTCAGAAGCTGTTCTGATCCCCTTGCCCAGAATGAGCCAGACTTGGTGATGATGCCACCTTCAGGAGCCGCCACACCGTGTGACAGTGGAGGGTTTGTTCGTCCCTGAGAAGAGCAGGTGAGCTGGGGTGGCCCAGGGGCAGGCTGCTCAGGAAAGGCTGCTTTGTTGGGGAGCTTGTGAGGGCGAGGTCCGGGGGACAGGAACAACCAGGCAGAGGGAAGAGGTTCTGGCTCTGGTCCCCTTAAATGGCCCCTGCTCTTTACAGAGGCTGCGCTGCTGTCAGACGTGTCCATCACCACATGTGACATTAATGACATCATCCTGACCTCGCAGGATCCCAGAATAATGATGCTTGAAGGATTTTCCAAAGTCATCTACTTGCAACTCTCTTGAAAACTTTGAAGACATTGGGCCTGAAAGTTTCAGTGACTTGTCCAGGGAAACCCGATTTGTGACAGAGTCAGAAGGAAAACTGCAGTTCCCTCTCTCATAAATAAGTCACCAAAAGTATCTTATCAAAGGGGCCTTCTGAGGAATACATCCCTGCTGAAACGAACAATTAAAAAAGTTCCTGCCTTCAGGCATCCCATCTCTTTTCTGTGAATTGTCTGTACCAGGAGGTGAATAGTATTACTGAGAAAAATAGATAAATAATGTATACTGACTATTTTTCTTCTAAGTTAATTTTAATGAAAGAATGGTGTCTTATCCTTTCGTGTAGTTTAATTCAACTAATCTGTTGTTTTTATTTCTTTCTGTTAGAAGGACCCATGCGTTATTATTAATATTTTTTTTAGGAAGATTAGCCCTGAGCTGACTGCTGCCAATCCTCCTCTTTTTGCTGAGGAAGACTGGCCCTGAGCTAACATCTGCCCATCTTCCTCTACTTTGTATGTGGGACGCCTACCACAGCATGGCTTGCCGAGCAGTGCCATGTCCGCACCCGGAATCTGAACTGGGAAACCTCAGACCACCGAAGTGGAACATGCGCGCTTAACCGCTGCGCCACTGGGCCGGCCCCCGTGCGTTATTATTAAATCAATCAAGAAAAGTTTATATTCATTCATTAAAAAACTGCAGATGATCATTTCAGAGTCACACAAAGACAGGTGGTGCCGCCTGTCTGTCATCCTCCTCATGCCTTTTCGAGGCACAGATGGCCCTATGTCTAGGGGAGGATGATCCCCAGCTGAGGTGCTGAGATGTGGGGAGGTGACTCTAGGAGCTGTGGCAGGTCAAATCTCAGGACCCCTGTCTTCTTTCTGTCCCCTTAGCTGAGCCACAGTTCTCTACACTCGCCCAGGAGCCACAGAAAGTGAACGTCCCTCAGGTGAGCGCTTTCTCCATTCCCCACTTTGTATTGTAAGGGATTTATAGGTTTAGAAGGATCCATGCATGATATGGAAAAAGGACAAATAGAAATAGATCAAGTCAATCTTGAGGGAAAATATACCCTGTCTGACTATTAACTATGATGTTTGCTGTCAGCTTTTGTAAGTGACCTTGTCAGGGTAAGTAGGTTCCCTCCGGGCACCAGTTTGCTGAGATTTCGTGTTAGTCATGACTGCAATGCATTATATTGATTCCCTTTGTGCAGCTATTGGAGTAAAGCTATAGTTTATTTCCTTCTATCTATGGATACTGTAAACGGTACAATGGATTTTCTAATATGAACTTGAATTCCTGTATAGACCCTAGTTGTTAAGTGTGGTAAGTTGCTTCTTACATATTTTCCTAGGGCTTTTTGCTAATACTCTATTTAGGATTTTTATTTCTGTATCCACAGGTCGGATTAGACTGTACTTTCTAGTTTCTCTGTTCAATTATGGTATCAAGGTCCCAGTCTCATAAAAGAAAATGGTTCTGCTCCTTTTCTTTTCTAATAATTTAGATAAGGAAATTGTGTTACATATAGCTTTTGTGAAACTCACCTGTAAATTTGAGCCTTGTGAAGACTTTCTGTGTGAAGATTTTGATTAATTTATTCATCATAAGGCTATACCAGATTTGTATTTTTTTCTTGGTATGACTTTGGTCATTACATTTTCATAGAAAACTGTTCATTTTTATGTATGTTTTTCAGTGTATTTTCATGAATTGATTGATATTATTCTCTTAAGGTTTCAGTCTTTTATCCATTGTATCCATAATTTTCTTTTCTGATCAGCTTTTAAATTCTGTTTTAGTATAAAGCTGCTAATCAGAAAAGGACAAAATGTGTTCTAGTTGGTTCAATCTGAAACCTAGAATTTCAGTATTGGGGGTCTTGATATTTTGTGCTGGCAGTGGACTGTAAACTTCGGGAGTAGAGGAACAGGCCCTTGCCATATTGTGCTCTCTAGCTCTGCACAGCCCCCTTGTCAGCACCATTTGCTGCAAGACTATCCTTTCTCCATTGAATTACCTTGGCATCTCTGTGGGAAATCAACCAGCAACGTAGGTATGGTCTGTTTCAGACTCTGTTCACGTCTTCTTTGTTTTTTTTAACTTTGCCATCCCTGATGGTGCATTTGGTGCTTCTGTCGTAGAGGGAATCCTGGGCTGGTAGACTGGTCTTTTTTTTTTAAAGCTTGGCACCTGAGCTAACAACTGTTGCCAATTTTATTTTCTTTCTTCTCCTCCCCAAAGCCCCCCAGTACATAGTTGTATATTCTAGTTGTAGGTCTCTCTGGTTGCGCTGTGTGGGATGCTGCCGCAGGATGGCCTGGTGTGCAGTGCTAGGTTCACTCCCAGGATCCAAACTGGCAAAACCCTGGGCTGCCAAAGCGGAGTGCGTGAACTTAACCACTCAGCCACAGGGCTGGCCCCTGTTCACTTCTGATGGTCTGTGTTAATCCTATTGCTAATACCACACTGTCTTGATGAGTGTCTCTTCAGTAAGTCTTGAAATCAGGTAATGAAAGTCTTCCAACTTTGTTTTTTTTAAAAATTGTTTTGGATATTCTAGGTCCTTTGAATCTTTACAGAATGTTTTAAAAATCAGCTTTCTTATCTCAAAAGAACCTGCTGAGATTTTGGTTTTCATTGCACAGACTCGGAGAATTTGTAGTGTAGATCAATTTGGGGAGAAATTACATCTTGATCATGAGTCTTCTAGTTTATGAACACAGTATCTCTCTCCATTTAGTTCGGTAATACAGAGGGTTTAGGTTTTTATACTTCTGAGTCAAAAGGAGAGTTTAGACTTAGAGTTGAAAAGAATAACTCTGTCTGCTGTTTGAAAATAGACTCTAGTGGGGCAGTCCTGGAAGTAGATACAATGTAGGAGGCCATTTCTGTAGTCCTAGCAAGGAATGATGATCATAAGGCCCTTAGTTAACTTTGAAGTGGTTGGGTTGTGGGTGTGATTGAGGGTAGAGCCAAGAGTCTGGGGGAGTGTGTTTCCTCCTCACAACCTTGCAAATAGAGTGTGCATCAAACTTTGGATTTTCACCAGTGTGACTTACAGCTGATCTCAGTTTAGTTCTGTAAGCTTTGCTCTTCTCATGAATAGGTGGGGCATCGTTGTTTTTTGTTGATAGTTCACTATAGTTCTTTGTTGTTGAACCCTTTATCCCTTATCCATTCTCATATTTATGTGCTGATTTTAATGACTGTATCCAGTATACCCTTATAGCCCTTTTTCTGTGAAATAAATTGTGCAATATTCCTGCAGTTTTTTGTATTTTTATCTGGCTCACGATTTAACAAAAGTTTTTTTTTTGTTATTATTATTTTTGGTGAGGAAAATTGTCCCTGAGCTAACATCTGTTGCCAGTCTTCCTCTTTTTGCTTGAGGAAGATTGTCCCTAAACTAATATCTGTGCCAATCTTCCTCTATTTTATATGGGCTGCCACCACAGTGTGGCTTGATGAGCAGTGTGTAGGTCTGTGCCTGGGATCTGAAACCGTGAACCCCAGGCCACTGAAGTGGAGCGCACGATCTTAACCACTACACTGCCGGGCCAGCCCTGGCATTTGATTTTTATGTTGTCAAATTTAGCATCTTTTTCTTTTCTGATTCCTGGATTTTCAGTCATAGTTGGGCATTTCCCACTCTAACGTTGTAAAATCATTTTCTGTGTAGTCCTCTAGAATGTGATTTTATTTCTTGCATTTCAATCTTGAATGCATTTTATTTTATCCTGCTCTGGCTTGAGAGATCTGACTATCTTTTCCCAGGTGGCCTCCAGCTATCCCTGTGACATTAGTCTCCAGCCTTTCCTTGCTCATTTGAATGATGTCACCTGTGTTCAAACAGGAAGTTTACTCTGTTAATCGTTCTTCCCACCACGCACTTTGTTCCAGGTCTTGTTCATTTGAAGCTTGGACTTCTTTCTGGGTTCTCATCAGTGCCTTGCTCCTTCTTGCCCACTTCTCTGTTTGCATTAGATTGTGGGCTACATTGTCCTGTCTTTGTTATCTAATACGACCTTACCCTCTGTCTTCCAAAATTTGTTCAACTTTTCGGGCAGCCTTCTGGGATGTTTCTCTGCAATCCTTTTTTGTTGTACTTTTATAGTAGGTTTTGTATTTTATCTGAGTGTGTTTATGGAGGCAGGGGATGTAAATGTCTGTGCCCAGGCTATTCCCTTGAACTAGAGGAGTCATTAATGCTTCTAAATCTCTCTTCTCTTAATTTCCAGTACTTTAATCTTTATGCTTTCTCATTCCACCAGTTAGAAATTCTTTCTCACCCTTCATGGCCTGTTCATTTTATGCTTGCCTCTTCAATTTTGCTATTTCCCTGAATTCTGTATTTAGTGCCTTTTCTCTCCTCAGTTTCTATGTCCTTTCTCAACCAGGACTTTTTCTCTGATGACTTCAGTTGCCATCTAAATGACTAATGTCTCCTAAGTTCTAATTTTTGTTTTAGACCTCCCTCTCTGTTTCAAAAGCATGCAATAATAGTGAAATAAATAATTCCATTTGTATGTTCTACCAGCATTTTGGGTACAAATGAAAAACATCTGCCTCACCGTGACCCAACCTCTGACTCTTATTTATTCTTTTGGTCTCTGTGTATGGCTTCAGCATCCACCCATTTGCTTGTGGAGCATCTCTGTGTGTAGTTGCACAAGAAAATGATGACCAGACTTTGTTTTCTGTAAGAATTAGTTTCCCATTCTTTATCTTTGTTGCTTTGCCTTAATATCATAATTTCTTAAATTAGGTCTTTTGTTTTGCTGCTTAAGACCTTGTCCACTATTCATGTAGAGCAGTGGTTGCAAGCTGCAGTCAGTTTTCCTCCCCAGGAGACATTTGGCAATGTTTGGAGATAGTTTTGATTGTCACAACTGGGGATGCTGCTGGCATCCAATCAGTAGAAGATAGGGATACTGAAAAAGATCGTAAAATACACAGCACAGTCTTCCACAAAAATAGCATCGTCTGGTCCACAGTGTTGGTAATGCCGTGTTGAGGAAATCCTGTTCTAGAGCATTGCTCCTGAAATAAAACTCCAGTGATGTTTAATGCCTCCCTGGGCTTACATGTGTCTCCTGCTGGTTTCCTATTACCCCAGAAGAGATCTCCAGGCTGGGGTGTGTATACTCTGCAGAGTGCTCAGTGTAATCCATTGGTGTATGGGAAATATATACAAGAATCCTGTTTATAATAACTTTACCTAAAAAAATAAGGCATTAAGGTTTCTCATTATTATATTAAGCGACAATATACATATATAAAATAAAAATAAATATAAATAAATCGGCATGAGAATAATTTTTTTTTTACTGATGATGTACGTCTCCTCAAAGTATAAGACAGAATTAGGGCCCCGTGATGGTCATCCTTTATAGCATTTTGTTTTAAATTGTGAACAGTAAACATAGTAAGACTTAGTTTCTAAAAGTGTTCTCTATGTCACTGCTTCTGGACCCTCACATTGAATAGAAATGTGCTATCGCAGGTATCAGTGTCATTCAAGGATGTGACTGCGGAATTCCCCAGGAGGAGTGGCAGCAGGTGGAGTCTGCACAGAGGACCCTGTACAGAGACGTGGTGATGCTGGAGAACTACAGTTGCCTTGTCTGGTGGGTGAGCAGACCTTACCATGTGACTCCCTTTAGTCTGCAGATTTTGTGTTTTCTTTTTTAACTATTAACCAGTTTTGTCGAGGTGTGTATAAGAGAAAATAAAACTCAGCACTTTTCAGTGTACAAGTGAGTGAGGTTTCAAAAATGATATAATAGATGACCATCATCAAAATCATGATTTGGAATATTTCCGTCATCCCAGAAAGATCCTTGTACTCCTTTACGGTAAGTCCCCTCCCTCCACCCCTACCTCTCTGATGCCTGAGAACAATCACTGGTCTGTTTTCTATTGCAGTAGTTTTGCCTTTTCTCCACTTTCATATCAATGGAATCACAGACTCTTTTTGTGTATGAGAAAGATTGGCTCTGAGCTAACATCTGTTGCCAATCCTCCTCTTTTTACTTGAGGAAGATTTTAGTTGAGCTAATATCTGTGCCAATCTTCCTCTATTTTATGTGGGCTGCTACCACAGCGTGGCTTGATGAGTGATGCTAGGTCCATGCCTGGTATCCGAACCCATGAACCCCAGGCCACCAAAGCAGAGCCCACGAACTTAACCACTATGCCACCGGGCCAGCCCCAAGTATAGGCTGTCGTTTGTCTGGCTTCTTTTACTCAGCAGACTGCTTTTGAGACTCATGCATGTATGTGAATCATTAGTTTATTCTTTCTGTTCTGAGTAGTGTTCCCTTGTGTGCATGAACCACAGTTTGTTTTCCTTTCAGTTGATGGACACATGGCCTTTTTTCCATTTGGGGCAATTATGAGTAAAGCTGCAATGAATATTTACAAACGATTTTTTGTGTCAACGTGTTTTCATTTCTCTTGTGTAAATACCTAGGACTGGGCTTGCTGGGTCTTCTGGTAAGTTTATCTGTAACTGTGTGAGAAGCTACAAATGTGTCCAAGCTGGCTCTACTGTTTTTCATGCCTATAAGCAATGTCTGAGAGTTCTCACTGCTCTCTGGTTACCAACAGATGCTCTGGTAAGTCTTAATATTTTTAGCCATTCTAGTTGGTGTCTGGTTGTATCTTACTGAGTTTTAATTTGCATTTCCCTGGTGACTCAGTGTTGAACTTCTTTTCATTTGCTTTTTAACCATTTATAATCTCCTTTAATGAAGTGTCTGATCAAATATTTAGCCTATTTTTTATTGTGTTTACTTTGTTTTGGTCTTGTTGAGTTGAAGAAGTTCAGACCTTTATCAAATGTATTTTTGCAAACTTTTTTCTCCATCTCTAGCTTGCCTTTTTAAGAAGAAAATGTTTTCAGATTATTTTTGGCTTTTACATATACTTTGTAAATAACTTTTTATGTGACATAATTATAGATTCACAGGAATTAGCACAGTTGTACTCTTCACAAGTTTCCCCCAATGGTTATGTCTTAGATAACCATAATATAGTCTGAACACCGGTAAACAGACACTGGTACAATGTGTGTGAATAGCTTAGGGCCGTTTTGTCACATGTGGAGATTCGTGTAACCATCACCACAATCAAGATACAGAATTCTTCTATCACCACAAAGGGTTCTCTCGTGCTGCCTCTTTATAATCATACCCGTCCTTCTCCCACACCTTCGCTAATCCTGCCCACTACTTATTAGGTCTTCAGCTCTATAATTTTTCCATTTCAAGAATGTTATATAAATGGAATCATAGACTATTTGATGTGAGATTGAGATCAGTCCAAGTTGTAGTGTGTATCAGTTGTTTCTTTTATTACTACATAGTATACCACTGTGTGAATGTGTTGTAGTTTGTTGAGCCATTCTTCTATTGAAGAACTTCTTGGTTCTTTCTTGTCTTGGGCTTTAATGAATAAAGCTGCTATGAACGTTCATGTTCAGGTTTTTAGGTGAACATAAATTATTGTTTCTCTGGGATAGATGCCCAGGAGTGTGATTGGTGTTGTATGGCAAGTATATATTTTGTTCTTTAAGAAACTGCCAAACTGCTTTTCAGAGTGGGAGTACCATTTTGCATTTCCAGCAGCATTGTATGAGAAAGCCAGTTACTTCCTGTCCTTCCTAGTACTTGGTATTGCCACTATTTTTTGTATTTGTGGTTATGTTATAATAGGTGTATAGTGATATCTCCTCATGGTCTTAATTTGCATTTCCTTAATGCCTGGTGATGTTAAATATCTTTTCAGTCTTCATATGCCATCTATATATCCTTAGACAGTAAGATGTCTGTTCATGGCTTTTGTGCCTTTTTTCCATCTTTATTGACACATAATGACAAATAAAAATTGTATATATTTGAGGTGTACAACTTGATGTCTTGATACAGGTATATATTATGAATTAATTGCCACAATCAAGCTAATTAACATATCCATCACCTGACATAGTTACCTTTATTTCTTTGTGGTGAGAATACTTAAGATCTATCCTCTTGGTAAATCTCAAGAATATAGTACAATGCTGTTACCTATAGTCACATTGCTGTACATTAGATCTCCATAACTTACTCGTCTTGCATAACTGAACTTTGTGCCCCATTTCCCATCACTGCAGCCCCTGGAAACCACCATTCTACTTTCTGTTTCTATGAGTTTGACTGTTTTAGATTGCACTGAGATCCCACAGTATTTGTCTTTCTGTGACTGGCTTATTTCCCTTAGTGTAATGCCCTCAAGTTTTATCCATGTGGTGCAAATGTCAGGATTTCTGTCTTTTCTGTTTGGCTGAATAATATTCCATTGTGTGTATATATACCACATCTTCTTTACTCATTCATCCATCAGCAGACATTTAGATTATTTCCACATCTTGGCTGTTGTGAATAATGCTGCAGTGAACGTGGGAGTGCAGATATCTCTTTGAGATCTTGATTTCTTTTCCTTTGGATATATACCCAGAAGTGGAATTGGTGGATCGTAGGGTAGTTTTATTTTTAGTTTTTTGAGGAACCTTCATACTGTCTTCAGATGGCTCTACCAATTCAGATTCTCATCAACAGTGTACAAGGGTTCCGTTTTCTCCACATCTTCACCAATACTTGTCTTTTGTCTTTTGGTAATCACCATTCTCTAACAGGTGTGAGGTGATATCTCACTGTGGTTTTGATTTGCATTTCTCTGAGGATTAGTGATGTTGAGCACATTTTCGTAAACTTGTTGGCCATTTGTATAGCTTTTGAGAAATGTCAGCCTAGATCTTTTGCCTATTTTTTTAATCTGGTTATTTGCTTTTTAGCTATTGAATTGTATGATTTCCTTATGTATTTTGGATATTTACGCCTTATAATTATTATTATAATTTGCACGTATTTTCTCCCCGTCTATAAGTTGCCTTTTCACTTTGTTGATTGTTTTCTTTGCTGTACAGAAGCATTTTAATTTGATGCAATCTCACTTGTTTATTTTTGTTTTCATTGCCTGTGCTTTTGGTGTTATATCCAAAAACCATTACCAAGTCTGATATCAAGGAGCTTTTTCTCTCTGTTTTCTTTTAGGAGTTGCCAAGGTCAACAATGACTTCCTTACAGCTAAACCTAATACACATCTTTCCATCTTTGTCTCACTTGACCTTACAGCGGCTGTGGATGATGATAATGTCCTCTTGGAGACACTCTCTTTGCTAAACTTTGAGAACTCAGTAGTCTTCTGGTTTTTCTCCCGTGCATATTCAATTGTAGTACATTGTTTTAGATTTTACAAAGGTGCCCAAAACTCAGCACTCCTCAACTAAACTTGCAGTCTTTCTCTGCAGATACTTTTTCTCCTATGTCCTCCTTCAAAATGAATGCCTCCAATTTGCATAGATGCTAAAGCTAAAGACTCAAGCAACATCTTTGAATCTTCCCTCTCCCTTAGTATCCAATGTCTCATCCCACCATCAGCCAGTCAGTCAGTGCTGATTATGACAGTCTCTAAATAGCTCTCAAATAGTTTCACTTTTCTGCATCCTTTCTGAAACCACCCTAGTCCTAATAACCAACCAAATAACTGAATTATCTTAATGACCTTATGCTTCTGAGCCTTGATATCTTGGTTTGTAAAATGGGGCAATTAGAATGAACACCAAGTATCTTCTTTCTCTATATTCTGTGATTATAAGAATTTAAAGCTAAGGAGAGGCTCAGGGCAAAATCAATTCTAGTGCTTTGGGAGATGATCTCACTTTCTCCATTTATTTATTTATTCATGCATTTATTTATCCTTCCTTCCTTAATCCCTTCCTCCCCCCCCCTCCTTCTGGGAGCATGCAAACTTAACTACTCAGCCCTGGGGCCAGCCCTGCACTTTCTCTATTTAAATTAACTCTTGGGGTGACTCAGATTGTGCCTCATATCCTCCCATAGCACTGCTTTGTAGGACAGTCTCAGGGTCTTCATGACAATTTATAATGAGGCCCTTTTTCTTAAATAGGAATCTGCTTTATGCCACGTTTTAAACTCTAGAAAATATTTTAAAATCAGATTCTAATGTTGGTAACAATTTTACCTTGCTTTGTTAATTTGTCTGCAAGCTCCTACTGAAAATGTCACATGAAACAAAAAGGTCCTATGTAAAAATTTAGTCCATCTTTGTTAACTCCCTCTTGAGAGTATATTAAAAAACCTGGATAACAGGAGAATGTTGATGAAGATTGGGGGGAGGGGCAGTGATGAAGGAGTTTGGCTGATTTTCAGCAGAAGTAAGGTGAGAATAAAAGCATTATAAAAGAAGAGTAAAGGATTTAGGTCAGGGCTTTCTATGAAAAAAAATTAAAAACCATAAGCAGATGGAAAAAGTTGTGATATGATATGGCAGATTCCACTAATCAGTTTAATAGACAGCCATTTTAATGGCAGAGAGAGTAGAATGCAAAGTGAGAAATTGGAAAATGTCAAGGAGGCAAGAGCCAGAAAAGTCAGGGGGGTCCCTTCCTGTCCTGAGGATTCTTTTGGTTCTGAAGTGCTTTAGCCCAGCTGAGTGAAGACCTGGGGAGGATATCATATATGCTCTAAAAGGGGCATCCATCAGCTGCAGGAACATGTGCCGTCTCTCCCCAAAGCTCATTAGCAGATTGGTCATTACTCTCATTAAGAATTAATTTTCTAATTCCAGGGATGGAACTCTCCTCTGCTTGAGTCAGGTTTCACGCAAAAACAGACGCACTTGGTGTGGATAAAACACAAGTGATGGTTACTGCTGCCTCCCATCTTCCCAGGACCCAGTGGGAAGGAAAAGGGAGGTTCTCTAGCAAAAAGCAGAGCTAAGGGTGGAGTTTTCCAGCTCTCCAGGCTGGGTGTAGGTCCCACGAATGAGGGAGAAGTGCGATGCCATCTTGCTGGCAGCCTGAGACCTTGAGAAAACTAGGTCCTTCTGATCTGGTTAGGGAAGACACAGTACTTCCAACAGCCACTGCCACAGGGCAACAGCAGCATCACAGATGAGATGAGGATCCTGTTACCTCAGGACCTCCCAAGGAGAGAGTTTGGGCTCCTACCATTTCTTGGGATAACTTGTTCCTGGCCCTTTGGAAAATGCCCAGACATCCCAAGGCTAGACTTCTAAGGAAAAGTAACTTGCCATTCCCCTTAAAATATGTAACTAAAAGCTATCTACACTTTTATATTTTAAATATATTGTTGGGGCTTCATTTCAAATTGGTATACTGTAAAACTGTTTCAGATAGCTTTAAATCCAAGGCAGTGGCTTTCAAACTCCTTTGACAGCAACTTACAAAAAAAAAAATGAAATAATTTTTATATAAACCACTATACAGACACACACACACAAAACTAATACAAAAGTTTTATGAAACTTTACTTCCCCTTATTACATGTGATACCCTCTAATATTATCTACTCCATTTTGTTTCACTGTTTATTAAGTGCTTGTCATAATCTAATCATATAGGTCAGGACGTGCAGTTTGAAAAACACTCTTCTGAAATTATGGATTCCACGTACTCTAGCTGGTAGTCTCTTGTCCAGATTTTTAAAAGGCTCATCAAAAAGCAGGATTTGCTAAAGGAACTTCAGTCTCCATTACAGCACTGTCTTTGGGATTCCTACCATAAGTTTCCAGAAGAATAAGCAGCTTTTCCTTTGCAGAATTGTGATGTAAGTTCAAGAGCAAGTGCACAGGACGTAAAATAAGAATAGAGTTGAAAAAGGAGGAACATCTCCAAATGCAATGTGTGTTCCTCTGGAAAACATAAAGCAGCCTAGAGTGAGGTGAGGGAGACAAAACAGAAAAAAAAAACTAACAGAGAAAAGATCAAGCTTGCAGCATCATATCTCCAGGCTTTGCAAGGTGCACTTGTACTTTCAACCCCATGAGACAGAGTGATGTTCAGCATGACTCCACTAATCATGTGGCCTTGAGTATCTCAGCAGACATCAGTTAAGTCATTTAAAAGGATAACTGCAACTTAAATTAGTTCATCCTATTTATGCAAAAATGGTAAATTCAAATAAGCAAGGTAATTTGCTTCTATGTATTTCAATTTTAAAATTTTTTTAATCACTTGTCATCTCAAATCAAAGCAAATGGGTAATATTATCAATTATATCTTAAATACGTAAACATATGAACTGATTTAAAACTCTTATTTGATATGCACTTGTTAACATTTGCACTAGAGTAGGGAACCACATTCAAGACTTAAAACTTAAAACAGGGTCATGTCCTTGAAAACCAAAGAACGTCGTCAGAAAAGCCCCCTTGTGAGAATCTAGCAACAGAGTGAGTCCCTAAAATCTGTTAAGCTATTCCACAGGGAAAGTACGGTAGATCACACTAGTAAAGGCAAAACTGTGGAAGCTTATGAAATATTTATCAAGGGAAATGTTTGATAAATAATAAAAATACTCAGTTTTAGGAAGGAGTATGATGAGCTTCAACATGGTTGCACTTATGAGCACAGAACTTTCATAGGAAAGAAAGAAGTAGAAATTTATTGAGTATGTTTTGTCAGGCATCACTAAATCTTTCAAATACATTATAGCATTGGAAACTGGGAATCAGAGATGTTAAGTAACTTGTCCTAGGTCACACAGTGATAAATGACAGAGCTAGAATTTAAACTTGATCTTCTAATTACACATCAATTTTTTTTCACGTTGATAATCATTTTATCCTGAAGCAGTACTCCAGATATGATAATGCTTAAAATATTTGCTTAAGCATTTCCTAGGATTTCTGATCAAGGTGAATTCAGATTTCAGTTTCAAGGCTAATGAATGATAAAGTGATCTTTAAAATAAAGAAAATAGATTATAAATATGCATGCATTCTGAGTGGCATATGAATCTCTCAAACATTTGATGAAGTGTTCTTCATGTCTCATGTAAGGATGAAAGAAGTTATCTATTGTTGTGTAACAAACCACACCAAAGTATAGTAGCTTAAAACAGGAACTTTTTATTGTCTCTTATTGTTCTGTGGGTTGGCTGTGGTTGGCCTGACAGTTCTCTCCTGGGGTCTCTTAGGAAGTGCAGTCAGCTGTCAGCTGGGACTGCGATCATCTATAGGCTCAACTGGGCTGGACTTCAAGATGGTTCACTTCTAGGATGGCAGGGGATGCTGGCTTTCTTACTTGGGGCTGCCAACTTGAGGGCCTACATGTGGCCTCTTTATGTGACTTGGGCTTCTCTCAAAGTGATGGCTGGGTTCCAAAAGAAAGCATCCCAGAAGAAATGTTCCAAAAGACCTAGGCTTCTTATGGCTTAGCTTCAAAAGTCCCAGAAACTCTCTTCCACAGCACTCTGTTGGTTGAGCCAGTCACTGAGGCCTAGGCAGAGGGACGTAGACTCTGCCTTTTGATATGAGAAGCAGCAGGCAATAAGGGAGGGAGGGAGACTGCCTATCTCACCTTAGTCTTTAGCCTCCCATCCTGGCATCTCTACTTTACGCAACTGAGTTAGAAGGGGAAATATATGCTACAACTACAATAACACAAATTATTGTGTGGTATTTTCCTATTTTTTTGGCACTGTCTCTTTCTCTGGAAGCACAGCCCTTCTTAAATGAATGAATAAATGAAAGTCTCTGGTCCTCCCCTTCCCATTCTACTCTTTTGTTCCCTCGTTGCCTCTCTTCTGTTTTCTATCCTTCTTTCTAACTGAAGATAAAGGGTGTAAAAACATTTTTTTTTAAAAGAAGCAACGTACTCTAATCAGTTAATTAAACTTATGGTTAATTTCTACCCAAATCTACCATTTGATATCTGCCTGACTGATTCAATCATCATTCTATATAGGAAGGTAATAAGATAATTTCTTTAAATGCAGGCAAAGGAACGAGAGGGAAAAACAGGAAAGAAAAAGTAGGTTACCAAAGGAGGAAGGAAAATATAAATGGGAAGTGAAACAAATCAGGAAGCTTGAATGATATTAAACCCAAAAGGCTGAAAAAACAAAAGGAAAGAAGCCAGATTCTCCCCTTATAATACTGTGTCCATCCTGCCTTCCTTTCCAGTCCATTGCCACCCGTCGCTAGCCGAGTCTAACCTTGTTTCTTAATGCCTGAATTATTGCTGTGTCATCTTACCTACTCTCCCTGCCTACGGTCTTTATCCTCTTAGAAACCATCAAAAGCACCGTTTTCCTCATCGTGCTCCCAATTTAAACAAAAAGAAAAAAAAGAAACACTAAATGACTGCTGAAGAATGAAATCCAATATAAGCATTTGAATGATTTTCATAATCTGACCTAACCTTCCTTGCCATTGTTTCTCAAGTCTTCCTTACATGAAACTATTGACTCAACCAGGACGCTCTACTCACTGAATCCAAATACACAGAAAAATGAGCCTAGATCCCACTGTTTATTACATCATGAAAAATATCAAACCTGAAACAAGGAAAAATAATTAATAAACAGAAAAAATCTGTTTCACAAAGCAGTGTGGCAACATTGTAAGCTTATAATTACAGCACTTGTGGTCCAGATCACTTCTTAGGCATACAGCCTTCTTTTTGTCTTCTGTCCTTTGCTCTAACAGATCCTATCACCAGGAGTTTTCCCTGCTGCTGTCTGCCTTAGCAAATCCTGTCTCACCGGAACCCACAAGAAGTCCTCCTCTTCATGGAAACTGATGGTAGTTGATTAATCTGGAAGAAGTGTGATTAGCAGGATTATTCTGGATCTGAAGTACCTTGTTAACACTACAGCATCTGATTGGCTTCTCTATGGAGACCTAAACACTAAAGTTCCATTTCAGTTTTTACTCTCTAAATTTGTTGAGTATACAGTAGTTTAAAGGACCGTTTCACCCCAGTTTGATAGATAATTCAACTAGCATCCAATCATTTGTACAACTTTGATTTGCAATAATTATGAACAGTAATTAGAGAAACAGTTAAAAAACACCATTGCTAATATAACTCTGGGAGCATGCTATAAGTGGGCTTTTTAAAAAATAGGGTGTTTGAAGATAATGATGGGTGCAGTCCATGATCAAAGAGATCTTGTGATAAGAGAAGTTTATTTTCAGGTATAATTAAAGCTGTAGATACCATTTTGAAAGTACAGACTTTAGGGAGCGAGGGAAGAGAGTTTTTGAAGCATAGTATAAATCAGGAATAATTACATTGATGATTATGAAATGCCAACATCCATTTTATTATGAGGAGCTGTCTCCTTTGTAGTTCCATTGATTCCAGGAAAGCATTAGTATAAGACCAAAGGCAGCTTTGCGACGAATGCTTTTGAAGGGTATTAAAGAGTAGAGTGACTGGCAGTTAGCAAACATAAAAGTGGACTAATGAGTGAATGTTCTGATCACCCATAGAAATTGTACACTTCAAAATATCTTATTGAAAAAACTAATTTTCGTTTTCACGTCCAATGTTGAATGTGCATGCAGTTGTTTTTATTGTTTAATCTATTTTCATTTAAAACTGGGTAAAACTAAACTTTTTGGAGCAGTTTACAAAGGTGATAAAATTATAACAAAAAGTAGGTTATCAGAACAGGAGAGTGGAGGCTTCTGGGGCACTATCAGTGTTTTGTGACTTGACACGGGTGGTAGTTCATTTTCCTTGCTTATTTTTTATGCATTTTACTGTTCATGAAGCAGTTATGTAGAAAACCCACTGATAGTAGTGCCCCGTTCACCTTCAAGACTTTATTAGCCCACGGGTGTCAATTACTGCCATAATCCGGGCTTTGCTCACGTTCCCTTTTGCCCATATGAAGTGGTTGTACATTAAGAGATGACTTCTTGGGGCCAGCCCAAGTGGCCTAGTGGTTAAGTTCAGTGTACTCTGCTTTGGTGGCCAGGGTTCCGGGGCACAGACCTACATCACTCAGCAGTGGCCATGCTATGGTGGCAGCTCAGATAGAAGGAGAAAAGGGGGAAGATTGGTAACAGATGTTAGCTCATGGCAAATCTTCCTCCCCAAAACCAAAAAGAGATGACTTCTTGTTATAGAAGAAATAGTGAGCGTGGTCTGGCCCTCGGTGATATTTCAAAACAGTCCTATGAATGGACATGAGAAGAGGTCCTTCTTCTGCCGAGGATCAAGTCTTATACTTTGTGTTATTTAAAGTACCTGATGCAGTGCTACAAAACTAGTGTGTATTCATGCATTCATTTGACAGATAGTTATTGACTTACCTACCACTTGAATCCTTGGAAAACTAGAGCAGTTTGCCAACTAATATAGTTAAATGATAGTTTATAAGTGCTATATAGACACTAGAGATTCAGCAGTTTCTCCTGGCTATCAGATTTATTTTGGCTAGTGGATATCACTCTCACTCTCATTGAAGTCTTAGAAAGGGATTCTAGAAGAGGATTGACCAGTTAGAAGGTGGAGACTTAATAAAAATGGAAAGAGTCAAAGACAGGAGGGATAAAAGCAGCAGAGGAAGAAGGAGGCAGAGACTGGACAGCCAGCAAGGCCTCAGTGCCCTGTACAGTTTAAGTTGAGTCACGTATTCTTCCTGTTTTCTTGTTAGATCCTTCCTCTTGCCCATGAACCCACCTGGAGGAGTCAAGCCCAGCATGGATGCCAGTGAGTTGGGTCAAAGCCAGGGGAAGGTCCTGGGATCAAGAACTGGCTGAGTAGAGTGAAAATTTCTGATCAGCCAGAAGTAGAAAGAGCCAGAAGATAAACCAAACCCATTTTCCAAGGAGTGCCAAAGGTGAAAAGCAGGAAAGCCAAAATACTCATCAAGACCAAAGGGGGAGCACAGAGCCAGAAGCTGGGAGGAGAAAGGGAGTCAAGAAAGTCAATGCCAGGTAAAAACAGAAATAGAGACTTGAATAAAAACAAAGCACAAAATGAAATGAAGGGCCCAAGACAATGATTGGGAACATTCCTTGGGGTTCGATACTGGATTTTGTTGAGTATGGGTTACTTAATTTAAAAGCACAGGCTCTGAGCAGGTACATTCCCTCCTTATGACTTTATTTCCCACCTAACTGATAGTCCACTATTAACCAAGGCATTAAAAACACTTAACCAGACAAGATCTGGAAGCTGTTTAGGCAGTCCTGCTAAGGAACCAACTTAGTCCAGACTGATTTTGCCATGACGATGACCACATCTCTTAAGGACAGTTCTCTCTAGATTCCTCCGTTGATTATTTTTGGAAACAAAATACTTGAACAAATGGTCTGCTTAAATAAATGGTTCAGGTGTGAGCACCCTAAGATGCTGGCAGGTGGAAATGCCTCACTTACCAGCAGGAAACTGACTGAGTGCTTACCATGTCCCCTGCAGCATGCTCACCCAGATTGCTTTAATATAATATCCCAGTGTATTTAACATTTTAGTCCATTTGGTTAAAATCAATTAGGTTTTTTTGAGGATCTCGATCCTCCCCCACCCAGTTTAAACCATAATCTCCTGAAGACTAGGATTATCTTGCTATATTCTTTTTAACGCCCCTCATTTCTAGTCAAGCCTCAAAATGTTAAGTCTGTACTGCAGGTTCATAGCACCTCAGAGATCATCTCAATTCTCCCCGCCCCACAGTGGGAAAGTGACCTGTTCAGTCAACATGGAGCAAAGTCACCCTTAAAATAAATGTTTTCTGTTTTTATTCTTCTTTTCCTTTCTGCTTTTCAGAGACAAAGCACAATAATTTGAACTTTTCTGCTATGTGACCTACACTCTACAGGCACTCTATAATAGTTGAGCCAGGGCTTAACAAAGGACTTGGCGGGGGGGAGGTGTGCTTGTGTGTGTGTGTGTGTGTGTGTGTGTGTGTTACACAATGTGATTGCCGATGTACAGTGGGAAAGTGGAAAGAATGTTTAGGCACATGCATATTTATATCAAAGAGATGGTAGAACCCACAAAAAAGAATTCATTTTTTGTGGTCTTAATGTTATGGTTTGGGGAGAGGTTTGGGGAGACAGAAGAGGAGCTGCTAATAGGTGGATTCATATCTTTCTGGGGAGGCTCAGTTATGAAGACAACTGAAGTCTCTCACAGCATTGGGATATTTCATTCTGGAAAGGAGAAAATACAATACCCTTCCTCCCTCCCCACTTCTTTGGTGCCCTTCCAAGGTAGGGCCCCTTGGTGCTGACTGCTCAGTCCTCCCTCCAGGGAGGCTTACCAAGGCCAAGAGGGCCAGAGGGGGCTGCTGCCGGAGATGCTGCTGATCCGGCTCCTCACCCCACTTTCCCTCTGCTGGTGCTTTTGGTGGCAGCGCCTCTTCCTGACGAAATTAAAATTACCACTCTGTAGTAGGGGACGTGTGTACCAGCAAGCATCAAGTTGATTCACTAGTTACCCTGTGACTGCGCTGGGCTGTGATGTGCCATTGTCTTCCTTCTCCCATTTTATACTTCACACAACAGCTTTCTCTCCAGTTAGTTAACCACTAACCACTTTGAATATCAGGACCATGGGCTCATTTATTTTTTCTGTTTTAAAGGATTGTGCTGGTGTGCACAGGGAGCAGTCATGTTGATTTCCACAGTTGCTGAGGTGTCTAAGTGTGATCTGCCTATCACGGTGCTGACTTTAATGAAAGGTTCTTTTTGTGATTGTTATTGAGTATTTATGTAGCTCCACACAACAACCCATTATTCCTCAGAGTACCTGTAATGGTGATCATTATTAGCAACCCCCATTGTAGAGGCAATAATTTAGGGGTCCTAGAGAGGTTTTAGCAACATCTCCAAAGAACACAAAGTGAATAACCACGGAACTGCCTGGCCTGGAGCCCCCTGCCTCTAGCATACTTGGCGAGTTCACTCATTCCATCATCTGGTTAGCAGACTTGCACAAGTTGGGCTCCTCTTCTAGGTTGCAGCTCAAATACCCTGAGATGCCTTCCTTGGTGGCTTTATCTACAACAGCATCCCCTCCCCAAGGCTCTATCACATTCCTGTGTTTATGGACTTCACAGAGCTTAGTGCTACCTGAAGTTATCTTGTTTGTGTTCTTGTTTGTTGTCTGTCTACACCATTCAGGAAGGTCATCTCCATGAGGGTAGCAGTCTTGCCTGGGTTGTTCATTGCTGTATCCATCCTCTTTGTTGAAAGTACCTGGCATACTGTAGGTGCTCAGTAATACTTGTTGCAGGAGTGACAGTGACAGGCTTTGTAAATGCTGTTACTCACATGTCATTTCTTTTGCCTTTTCATCTCTTTCTGGACTTTCTGGCCTCACACAGTCAATTATTCTCAGTTATCTTGGAGCTAATGATCTAGTTTGTGGATGGCCCAGGTCCTTGGCTTCCTTCCCTCCTTGGCTTCCTCTCCTCTGGAGATTTCTCCAGATCTTTCTGTCATTTCTGGCCTTTAGCTAAGTGGGGTCAAGAAAAGAGTAGGGCGATGAAAGTCCTATTAGACAGTTTTACTAGTCCTAATAACTTTGGAAAGATTCAAAGTTGAAATTACGGATTCTAAGGTTACTTTTTTGCTTTATTTGTGGATTTCAAAAAATTTCGTGTTTTTTATACACAATACAGTGAAAAGTGGATTGAACAAGTTAAAAGCACTGTATAGATGTAAGATATAATTATGCATGCATGTAGTCCCATTAACCTTGGTGATATAGAGCTGGTTATACATTTAAGGTTTAATTAGTTTTCGTAGAACAGTAGCTCACATTGTTCTAATGGATGGGGTGAGATAAGGGCTTGGAAAATGTGCCTTTGGTTGATGTTCTTTTTCAACCATCAAATCAAGATTAAGCTTGAAGGCCCCTCAAAGCCTAATGTACGCCTGAAATTACACAATGTTATAAACTAATATGGCATCAGTAAAATAATTATGTAAAAAAAAGGTTGAAGTTAGAATAGACAAAAGTTAAAGTAAGAATAGATGAAAGGCCCTAAACATTTGAATTTTCTTGCTTCAAATTTTGGACGATTAGAATATAATTTCCCCTGAAAAATCTTCGACTTATTTTGGAAGAAAGACCCTCTGGATAATCTAAAAATGAAGTTTTCTATTTAAAAGTTGTTTTTAATGTTCCTTAGAGCCCTGTGTGCAACCAGATAATAAGGTTGCACACTTTTCTTTTTAAACATAAGGAATCAGTACAATACCTTATATTTGATAACATGTGCTGTTGTATTTGGTCCTCCCTACAACTCTGCCCATGGATATTATTGGTGCCACTTTATAGGTAGAAGAATGGAAGCAAAGCTGTTAAGTGCCTTTCCCAAGGTCTTACAAGAAGTCAGCAAGAAGATGGTCTGGCTCAAGTCCCCTGACTCCAATTTACTATTCCCCACAATAATGTTGGAAAACCACATTAGGAAGGGAAGACTCATTCCTAGTACTGTTGTCACACCACTAAGCTTCAAAGATCAGGCAAATATTTTACTTTATGGTTAAATTGGTCACATTTACTCCCTGTGTACCTATATTCTGGGCCCTGTGCTTTGCCCTGGGAGAAGTCAGAGAAAGTAAAAGACAGGTTAGACTTCCCTGGCTCTTACCACCCAGTGAGGGTGGGAGAGACACACATACAAATGTGGCTGTAATACAAGGGTAGGGAGGTCGGACATGCATTAAGAGATACAAGATGAACTTGGCATGAATAAGATTTAACTGAGGTGAGATTGAGAAGAGTCAAGAGGGGAATGGTGTGTCGACCAAATTTTATCCACCAGAAATTCAGCTATTCACGTTTTACCTACCATGGCAAGTTAGTAGATAATGTTTTTAAATTACTTTTAAATAGAAGTATTCGCCTATTATTTATATAAATAGAGGTAAATGCAAGAAGAACTGCAATAGAAATGGCTAAAGTGGTTTCTGTGGGGAACGGAACTGGGGGGATAGGAAGGATTGGGGTTGTGAGGTGAGAGAGGGCGTGTTGTGGCTCTTTATAAACCTTTCAGTACTATTTGGTTTTAAGGGCATGGGTATGAATTACTTAGGTAAATATTATTATGGGGGACTGGAATTGGCCACCCCAAGATATATCTCTTTGGCATGAGGATTGTTTTGGGCTGGTTACTTTTAAAAACTGCAGACAGGAAAGAAATGATGAAAAGTAGAATTTACTTACCCTTTGTTAAGAGACATTTACTTTGTAAAGGAAATCTCCATCTGTAAAGGTGTCTCCCTCTGTGTACCTGGAAGGAGGGATGACCTTATCTCTAGAAACTCTTAGCAATGTGAAAGGCAAGGACTCAAGTCTGCATAATAACCTGACTCTTGTTTACTGTACTTGTGTGGTAATCTCCCATGCTGGACTTCCCCCCACCCCCAACATCCTCCTTTGTCTTTAGCTGAAGGTGATATTTAAGATGGTGGCTTCAGCCATTTTGGCTACTTGCTCAAGTTGCCTGAGCCTCTCCCGTGTATACATGTTATAAAGCTTTGTTTAATTTTCTCCTGTTATTCTGTCTCATGTGAATTTAATTCATTCTCCAACCAGAAGAACCTAGAGCTGGTAGAGGAAATGTCTTCCTCACCTACGTTATTAAGTGGGCTTTAAAGAATGAGTAAGGTTTCTACAAGGAGAGGGAGGAGAGGGATGGTTGTAGCAGAGGACCCAGCATTAACACAGAGGAAGCAGGAGAGCAGAGGAAGGAGCAGGTAACCCATGAGGATGACAGTGTGGAACACACCTCCAGGGATAGGGACACATGCTCAATTGCAGAAGGGCTTGGTTAGAAGGACATGCACACACGCTCACGTGGTTGTTGGCAGGAAGGCAGTCAAGGGTGTTGGGCAAAGGGGTGATATGCTCAGCACTGAGCTCTATGTACAGCGGTGGTTCTCGCCTTGGAGGTTACCTGCTTGTTGAAGCAAAATTGCTG